GGCTGGATGAATCCTCCCTGTAGCCTCTGCATCATGGCCTCTCCCCATCGCCGCACATTTGAATCCGCTAGGGCCCCATCCTAGGAGGCGCTGCGTCTGCTTTGTCTGTGGGCCGTTTTAGATCACAGACTGAAAACTAAACTGACAGCCATCGAGTTGATGGCACTCACAGCAACCCGAGAGCTCAAGGCAGAGTGCCCCTGTGGCTTTTCAAGACGGTCAAATCCTTGCAGGAGTAGAAAGCCCCATCGTTCTCATTTTTATAAAGAACAGGAAAAAAACGAAAAGCTAAACTCAGTGCGTGGAGTCCATTTTGACCATAGTAACCCTATGGGACAAGGTGGGACTGCGCCTGTCGGTTTCCCTGCCTGGAACTCTACAGGAGCCAGAACCACCCGTGTGTGTCTCCTGGAGCGGCTGGTGGGTTTGCACTGCTGACCTTGTGGCTAGCAGCCCAGCGCATCACTGCCACTAGACAGGTCCTTCAAAAGCCAAACGAGAAAGTGAAGAGCAGTCTGGAAGGAGAAGGGTTATCGCAGAGCCTTCCATAGCAAAACTTCAGACACCTGCGGCGACTGCTGTTTTCACAAGGCACGCGTCACACATAGTGTTTTTTAGCCCTAAGTTTGTGAGCCAGTGAAAGTCCAGAACCACTCTACGTATTGCCATGCTATGCTAGGAAAAAGCGAGTATTGGAAGCATATTGGCACGTGCCTTCAGAAGAACTGATGTTGAAGAGAGCGCGTGGGAGACAGACACACAGATCGCCATCAGCACTGTTTCCCCCGAGTCCATTTCCCGATCTGTAAAGTGGGGCCAGCGATTCTTGCCCTTCGCCTGGTCTCATGGGTGTGGCAGCCACATAGGTGCCCCGATATATTGAGAAAGTGCTCTGGAGGTCTTGCATTTCTGTGCCAGCAAGTTTGGTCCAGTATGCCAGCACTGCAGAGGCAGATCCGACACTGTACCTGGGTCAAAGGAAGGTTTAAATGACATGACAAGTCGCACGTGAATCAGTGAGCATGGGGACCTGGCTTCCTGCTGAGCCGGGTGGTGCGGCCTCCGCTCCCAGTCGGATACGCCCTGTGTGCTGCAGGAAGCTTCCATGCTGAAGAGACTGAGACCTGCTTGGGATGATGGCAAGCTGTAACTGACAGAAGGCGGGAGCTACTCTGGCTAGAGGAGTGATGCTCAGAATTTGGGGACTCCAAAAATGATCCAGTCACCTGAAAATGCCCCATGGCTAAGTGAAGCCATCCGTGTTTAGTTTTTAGAGAGTTTTTTTTAAAAGTCAGGATAGTTAAGATTTTGCTCTGTGTGTGTATGTGTGTTTTACACACACATATGTACGATCCCTTGTACCTAACGGTGTCTGGGAGCTTCCAATTTCTATGGGCTTGGAAGAAAACTGCATGGTTTTGAGTCGTGCATTGTTTGGGGCAAGGACCTGTTTTCCTTTTCCTGGGACAGACGGTCGAGCTGTCCCTACTTGATGTGATCCTCCATTGTCCTGGGGAACCTGATTCAGGCCTTTGTCGGCCCGTTGGCTCAGCTTCAGGGCTCGATGGGAGCTGAGCCTGGTTTAAAGCGCCCTGGCTTAGCTTCAAGCCCTGTGGGCTGGGCTGGTATTGGAGAGTTGTGAAGTGGCGAGATCTCAGTGGGGCATCTTCTGCGGGTGGGCAGAGCTGCTTGCCTGCCCTTTCTCAGAGCCCTGGTAGGTGGACGGTGGACACCTCCCACAGGTGCACTTCAGAAGGCATGCCCTTCCTAGACGCACTGGCCCTTTGGAACATGGCTGCCTCACCTGGGACTCCCCTCCCCAGCACTGTGCCTGGTGTTGGCAGCCTTCCCTCCCACCTGTTTCCCTTGCTCCCGTGCCACTTCCCATTCGGCAAGCCTTGGCACTTGCTGTTAGACAGTGAGAGGTGCCCTCCTGCAACCCTCCAGCCCTGCCCAGGCTGCCGCTGCTCTCCTCAGTGCTCCTGGGAGGACCGAGGCCTTTGGTGCTGTCACTTGCACCTGAGGGTCGACCATGGTGGGTCGCATTTCTCTGTGTGTGTGTGTGTGTGTGTGTGTGTGTGTGTGTGTGTGTGT